TAAATTCGAAAAAGTGCATACTTTGTTACGAGAAGGGTTGCAACAACCTATTGGCGCCATCATCTGCTATCCGAAGTAATGCAATGCTTAGCTTTTGGCTGGGAATCGCTAGTTTTGTGTGTTTTACATTTTTAGTTTGAAGTAAATAGAATTTTGTCGTAATTAAAGCTAAATATCTATTAAAAACTATGTCAACTATTCCTTAATTCGAATAAAAAAAAAGAATTAAATTTGTGTTGGTACTCCAATTTTTATTAATTACATCTTATTTATGAACATATAAATAATAAATATACATACATACATATGTACATAATTAGTGAGCAGTTAAAGCAAATGTTAGTGCGTATTTATACTTTTTTTTTGAATATAAAATATTTATGTCTTATTGTTAATATTAATGTATGTAATGTTTGTGTATTGGTAAACATATTGCAAGCCACTTCATTTTAGACGCCACATTGTTAGCAGAGCAGCAGCAGCCAATAGTCCATTTGAAAGCAGCAAATATGCCGCACCGTTATTCACTGCCTTCGTATTGCAATTTGTTGTATTGCAAACTTGGCAACTCTCGTTGGTAGTGTCATTGCAAATCAGCTTATCAGTGTCGTCCAAATCAACAACGCAGCCGCGAATAACTAAGTCATTATCTATAAAAAATAATAATGAAAAACAATAAAATTATAATGAAATATTATTAAATAACATGAAATGAAGTAAAATAAAATGAAGTAAAATAAAATAAAATAAAATAAAATAAAATAAAATACATGCAGTACTTGATGCCATCTTCGGTAAGTTCGGAAATGCAGCCGCGTGTAGTGACATTTGTGTCAGCTGGAAAAATAAATAAATAAAAAGTGTGGAAAAGTTTATTTTAATAACAAAAAATATATAACGATGTTATTCTTGTTATCCGACATTTTTATTGACATTTTCAGTAGATACATACATATGGGTGTTTCCATGACATTCCTACGACTTTAGAGTTAAATAAATCATACGAAAACGGATGTCACTTATAAAAAAAATGCTGTTGTGTAGCCTTTATACTGTCCTTTGGTTGACAAAAAAAAAATGACGTGCACTTGCAACACTCGTGCCGGGAAAATCGATGAAATGGAGGGCATAACGGACGTGACAAAAACAGAAGTGGTTTCAGAGATCATGCAAAACTCTGCAAATTCTGTGAGATTTTCCTTTCTTAACTATTCTTTAAATAAAGCAAAATTACGGACCATTACAACCGGTTCATACTTAATCAGAAGCAATTGTTTTTGGTTTTATTTTGAATTAAATTGTGATGTGCGTGAGATTTTTCCCCCATACAATATTTTTACTTATAATAAATATATTATTTAATTTTATCAGTTCTCCTCTCCACCGTTTCGAGGTTTTCATAACTTTCTTTCGCCATCTGATTACCGAGTTTAAAGTTATAAAATCTTTTGAACTAGAGATGGGTGCGGTATATCGGGACCCGCAAAATCCACGGTATTAATTTCAAAATGGCCGGAATGGAACGAACAGCAAGGCAAAAAAAAATCACAAGATATCAGATCTTTCAGCATTTTTTTATTATTTAAATTAATTAATCGGGATGAGTGGGATCGAGATTGATTAACTTAGTCCCATGCCCATCACTAGTTTGAACCCATTTACTTGCATTTTCGGTTTACATTTTCATGGAAACACCCATATGTACACTTGTGGTCAGCTGATTAAGTTAAATAACATTTTGATCAGTTTTGGCCTTTTTTATTTTGTCTATTTAATGTTTATATTTTTTTTTTATAAACGTTTAGTACATTAAATAACAATTCAAACTTCGTACAAAATTTATAAAAATTTAAAAAAAAACTTAACAATTACACCCAAAAATTTTCAAATTTTTATTAAAAATATTTCGAAAAATTTTGGGCATGCAGTTTTATAGCCCATTGAATTTTACTAGGTTAAAATGATTTTGATTTTTGATAATTTTTTGCTAACGGTGCTGGGCATTTTCCTCCATATAAAAGTAATTGTCCAACATATCTTATCTGGGTGAAAATGCCCCACACGGGTAACCAAAAAAATTATCAGAAATCAACGCGATTTTCTATAGTCTTGTTAGGCTATGCAATTTGAATATCTAACATTTTTTTAAATATTTTTAATAGAAATATTGAAATTCTTGGGTGTAATTGTTAAAGTTTGTTTAGTTTTTATAAATTTTGTACGAAGTTTGAAATGTGGATTTATGTGGTGCTAGTTATTTAATGAGCTAAACTTTTATAAAAAAAAAATTTAAAAAATGAAATAGCAAAAGAATATGTCCAAAACTGGTCAATATGTAAATAAACTTAATCCGCTGACCACAAAGGTATGTATGTATATTTGCTTGGCCGCATCCATTTCGTATTGCCACAGATATGCTTAAGAAATCACTCCCTTTTTCTTTGAACTCATTTTGCGTCTAAGGTTCCTGTTTTTAGAGCTCTTAGGAATTCAATTTGCTCTAAAATTTTTCTTTCTGGAGTTTTCTTACTCAGAACCTAGTTTTAAATCATACTGAATGAATTATTACATAGTTCTTACGTCTCATTTATAATTCCTTGTAATCTGTATGAAATGTAATACTTTCTGAATTATAAAAAAGAATAAATTTGTTCCCAGTTAAATAACAATTTCACCTCTCTAACTATTAACCCACACGGTGGGGACCTATATTTTTTAGACCTCGAAAAACCTTCTCGCAAATTTTGTTTAAGGTATCCCACTTGCGGGGATTTATTGTGTACTGATCTCTTAACTCATCCTTATCTAGCGGCTTCGATAATTTATCAATAGATATTTCTCTACGAAACCGATACTTTCGATTATTGATCAAAACCATCGATAAATATTTCGATAACGAATTACAGCAACGGGTTGCAAACAAAATAGTACACAATCAATGCAACAAACTAAACCACTTTGAAAACAAAAAAAAAAAAACTTAACTCACCCTTATAGAGCGTATAGCAACCATTTTGTTTATCCCCATAGCTTTACAATTGACAGCATTTCCTGGTCCTGCAGCGCAGCCTGTATCCGTGGTGCTAGAGCACGAATAGCAGGTGAGGAATTGGTCAGCGCCGAGAGCAGCAGCAGGGGTGGGAGCAGGCGCCAAAGTGCCAATAGGTTCAGGACCTACCGGCTTCCAGCTTATGGATAGGCTTATCACCTCTCCCTCACTCACTTGCGCCGTATTATCATTTTCTCCAACCGAAGTATCATGCCCGCCTTCATTCATATCATCTTGCTCAGCACTGTTCGGTCTACTTCACCTTTCTCTGCCGATAGCTTTGCTTCCCTCGCCGCTATTTTCACTCGCATTTTGTTGTTGTTTACTTGACTCGGCCACGTATGGTCAACTTTCGCTGATTCATTGCCATCTGCTGCGTGCGGTTGTTCTTCTTCCTCAGTCGAAGTAGCCACTTCCATGGCTGGTGCATCGGCGGGGTAATCTGGAGAATTTGGTATAATTTCAGGTTTCGCTATTGGTGGTGGCAAAATTGGTGCTGCTAAATCTATTTCTGTAGGCCCTTTTTCAGCGCTAACTTCTACTGACTCTGCCTTGTCTGAATTGTTAGCTTGCTCTGGTTTTATCTGTTCTCCAGTTGGCTTTGACGCATCCACTTCTTCTGCAGACTTTTCCTCTTTTTCAGTACTTTGCCCGTTTTCCTTGTTATTTATTGTTTCTTCGCTCTCTGTCTTTGCAGGGACAGTATCTTTCTTCTCCTCCTGACCGGCAACACTCACATTTTCTGCTCCAGTTCCAAAAATTTCAATTGTATCCGCTAGATCAGTTGATGCTTGAGCGTCCACTTTAGAGCTTTGCGTCGTCGCAGCCATCTGTAGAGCTAGTGGCACCGGCAACGTGGTCCTCTGTGGTCCATTATCCTTTTGTTCGGTCATTACACTCTTCTGGCTTTCGTCATCCATCAAGCATATGTATTCGGTTTCGGCGTCGGTGGCTAGAGGAAAATAATTAAAAGAACGTATTTAAGAAATGAAAAAGTTTGAGCTTTTCCAAATGACCTTCAAAGGACTTTAATTGCAAAGTATTAAATATTCTAATTATCGTTTACCCATCGCTATTGTGCAACCCTCTGATTTGCATTCGACTCTCTTGCGCAGCCTAGCATCGTCTGCGGGTGGGCACCTAGGTAAAGCGTTTCCTTGGCATTGTTTACAAAGCTCAGCAAAATCTGAAATGATGATAAGTATGCATTTTTGAAACTCCTTTAACTATAAACTGACATTGTTGACTCATTTACTTATTCTCTATAAAAAAAAGTTGAATACGAAGGCAGAAGCCAAATGCAATTCATTGCTTAAACAAGATACATAGAATTTCCTCTGCCTTTTCAGTGGTAACATGAAGCGATTTGTTTATTTTTTAAATTCAAGTGGTGGAGGTAGGCGTGGCTAATATACGGCGAGGAAATTAGAATAAGAGGTTGGATATACGCAGAGTGGAGTGAGGGCAAGTAAGCCACACAAGCATATAATAATCAAATACAATCCAAGGGTTGAGCTTTCGCTTATTTCCTGGCCACTCGGAGTTAACGAATTTCTAAAAAAACAAACAATACGAAATTCTGGCAAAATTTGTATCTAGCGCAAATGACAGAGCAAAGGCGGTGACTAGAAACTACCTGATAGACTGCACAGGAGAAAACATCATTTATTTACTTTAAGCCATTAGAAAAGGTATGGCTTCCCTCTGCATAATGGGGGCGCTAAGGAAAACCCTTGTGGCTACTTTGAAATGATACTGAATTGCTGCAAATAGACGTTGAAACAAGCGAAACAAGTTTTTAGATTGACGGCGATATATGAATTTGGGACTGCAATAGGGATAGCCGTTCTGCTGGTAATGCAGTTACAGTTGGACGGCTATACACAATCCCGACTCTTGCGTCCTCATTCGCACACTTTGGGCAACGTGAGCAACCCATGTGCGAGATGCGGAACCAATTCGAGTGGAGCCTTGGGTCACGGCATAAAGAGAGGGAACTGCGGTGGGGTCACTCCGACTTATTCGGGTTAAGGGCTCACTGAAGTCTGCAGCGTCTGTTCACCATAAGGACGTCTGCTTGGAGCAAACGGCTCGCTTTTCAAGCACGTATTCGGTTGAGAAACCTCCCTCCCAGCAATGGGCTGTGTGCTGGGCTTGGGACCCGCCACATAAAACAGTTTTCCAATGAAAAGAGCAATCCTCGATCCTCGCAAACAAAACAAGGACTACGATTTACGGATATGCACATGAAATGTCCGGACCCTCTATAGGGAAAGCATCTCTATCCAATTGCTGGATGTCATCACAAATACCACTACTACTGGATGTCATCGCAAAATAAGACAGCGCACAAATTTGGTATAGGATTTGTGGTTGAACGGAAACTCCGACACCTTGTCTCCCGGAGCGAATCAGTTGGTCCTCTAACAATAACATGAAGGCCTTATCGATTTCAGAACCCTGCCGACGTTTTTTTTTCTTAACCGGTGGCTCATAACCATTATTCGTAACTCGCAAAAGTTGGGAAGAAATTCCCGTTAATAGGAAAACGTTTTCCCAATGCAGCATTAGCTTTCTAAAGCCGAATTGGTGCGCATTTTCAAACTGAAAACCGAAATTTAATTTAACATTTTCTAAAAATAAAGCACAAAATTAAAAAAGAACCTGATAAGTCCTAAGAGTTTAAGCCAACAGCTTCAAAAATTGGCTGCAATAATGTAAAGCAATTAAAACTCACCGCTTGTGCTACCAAAGTCTTTTATCCATCCACTAATTTATCTCGTGAAAGATGTGGTAAACACAATAATCTCAATAATCTCAGAACATTGACCAATTTTTCAAAAAGTTTTAAGCAAAAATACCTAATTTTGCGTCAGACCTCCAACTTTAACACTAATTTTAAAAAAGGGAGTTCATCAATTTGTGGCTCAATTAATAAACAATTATCATGGAACTTGTGTTTGACATAACTTCCATGCATCAGGTCTGTGGAAGTCATGTCTGACTTTACTCCCATGGACCAAAAATCTATCGATGGTAGTAATTTCACGACATAATTTCCATGGAACTCATGTCATGGTTCGGTGGAAATTATGTCCGTGGAGGTTATGTCGAAAACCCAACTGACGCACCTATAGACTATACAGTTCGGAAAATGTGTGATGTCTCCAAAGTGGAGCTCCAGATGCTCATTATATTCGCTTAAATTGTTATCATACAGAATAATATGCACTAAACTCCAATTGACCAGGTATTCATATAAGCTTAAATTCGGAGTTTGTTGTTGCCAGGAAAAAGGANTCTTAGGGAACTTTAAGAGCTGACGTTCAAATACTTAAGTAATTTGCCCAGTTTATAAGAAAACGGTCAAAGGAAAAAATTTCATTATTTTGTTTGTGTGAATAGTAGTGTCGAAGAAATTTCGACATCTGATTTCTCACACTTTCCTTACGAAATAATGGACCGGACAAAAATTTTAGAAAACCGTAGTAGAAGGCGAAGCAAATTTCTTATGAACTGCATACTGCCGTAGGGTAAGAAGGCTTCCTCACGTTTCAATCGTTCCACTTTTATTTCTCATGCTCGAATTTCGCATGCCGGCGGAAGTCGGGCCCGCACGCTGGTAATTAAAAATTCATTCCGACCAAACTATATCGAAATGCACTATTTGGAATTTTGCAACAAAAATTACACAGTGTACTGTTCTACTAAAAAACCTCGCGCTGCCTGAATATCATTGAAAAATATTAATGTTGGAAAATTCGGTGCCCACTTGAGGAAGCCTTACCCTTAAGGAAATAGGACACAAGAAAATTTCTTCGAAAATTCTTCAGCGTTATTTTCAATCGGAGATTGTTGTTTTTCTTGAGAGCTTAAGAGGAAAACAAATGAGCATTCAAAACCAAATACTGGTATACATTTTTGGCTATTTAAAACTATAGGCTAAATTTTTTATAAATTTAAAAATATCAAAAAATTATGTCCACTTGTTAAAAAACCAACAATTATCCTCACATTTACGTTCAGTTTGAAATTGTCAAGAGATTATGTTCATATTTGAAGTTACCAAAAATGTATGTTCAGTTGTAATATCTATAAAAAGTTCTATGCTCAATTGACAAAATTGTATGTCGAAAAATTTCAGTTAGGTTTCGAAGGTACCAAAAATTTATTTCCACTTTTAAAGCTACTAAGAAGTTATGTCCAAGTTTTAGAGTACCAAATATTTTTTTTTAAGAATTTATTTTCGGGCTTCAAATTGGTAATCATCAAAGTTTTATGTCCGGTTTTTTTTTCGAAGCGTTTAAATGTCCTTCCTATACGAGTAATAATTTTTTCCCCAAGAAGATTAAGGCAAAGTTTGAACCTCTACAAGTTATGTGGTGCCAATTCCGTTCTTTTATATAATTTTCTGCGTTCTTTTTTGGAATAGGGGAAAGTCATTTTGATTTTTCTGTCATCCAGCACAGCTGGAGTGAAAAGTTGTTAAGAAGAATTATTCAGGAGCTGGATAAACTATATATTACGAGCACAACTTAAATATTAAAAATTTCTTTTGAAAATTAGGTGGAATGTATAATTTTATTTAAATATTTTTGTTATATATATTTTTTTTTTAACGCACAAATATAACGCACTGTTTTTTTTTACTTATTTAAATGTTATTTCCTTCGAATAATTTTTATTATTACACAATTTGATCGATCATTACCGTTTTCTTGTACATCAGCTTGGATTTGAAAAATCACTAGCCAGCTCATAAAAATACACAAAATGGCGGTTTTCATATTTTTTTTGCGGTTTATTTTTATAACTTTTATATTAACACTCTAAAACTCTGTCCACACGCGACCGACTCCTTTACGCTACTCGAACCGGAAAATAACGGGAAAGGGCTTTTTAATAAACCCATTTGGTTAGTGTGTTGGTGCGGTTTACAGGGTGTTTAGAGTTATAGGAAAATAAAAGAAAAAATGTTGTATAAAATAACGAGTTTTTCTCCGCGATAGGTTGGCATTAATTAAAGGTGATCGGGATTTTAGCCAAGCCTTTGGGATCAGCCAGGGTTAAAAAGGAAATTATTCCGGTAAATTTTTTTTTCATTTCAGCCTCTTTTATTTTATTTTACTTTGTTAATTTTTTTACTTATTTTACATTATTCTTTTTTAGTTTTTTATTCTTTTATTTTTTGTTTTCTTAAATTTAAATCAACTTAACTTTTATTTACATTATTCTTTTTTGAATAAACACTTATTTTTATTTTTTTTATGTTCCTTCATTTGTTTCGCTTTGCTTTTTATTTAATTTTTGTTTCAAATTTGGATTTTATTTTATTAACCGTTTCTTTTCACTTACTTTATTCTTTTATACT